ATAAATTATCATATTAAAGTTTTAGATAGAAAATTATTAATATCGTTACCAAATTATAAAAAAATATATTGTAAAGTTAAAATAAAAAATCATAATAAAAAGTTATTTTATTTTTTTATTATCTATTCTTTTGTTATTTTAAAATAATTTTTATCAATTAAATATTGAAATAAGTCATAATAATAATTCTATTTCATGAATCAAATAACATAATAACTTTTCTTATTTTATTTTATTCTTACAAAATAGTTATTATATTCCGTAAACCAAATATGCCATGCATCTTTATATATTTTGAAAACAAAAAGGTAAGAATTCTCAAAGACCGTAATGTATTTGGTAAAAATCTTTTTAATATCAAAGACAAGTCATCGATCAAACTCAAATCATAGATCACTTATTATTATGATAGACAATTTTGTAAATAAGGAAGGTGTGCTACTAATTAGTACTCTTAAAACACTCTTTAAAGTTAGTTATGCTATTATTTATAATGATATTTTGATATTAAGTATAGTATTTAATAATTAATGTAATTTTTTTCAATGCATCGAGAAGAGAAATTTACTTAATATTGTAATTTTAAGCAAAATATACAAAGGAATGTTAAATGTTAACCACTTGAAATGATATTGATAAAAGAATTTCCTAATTAATATATTATTGAATTTTGTTAAGATAATTTCTTAAGAGAATTTTAAAATATTATTTATTCTTATATTAAATTTAGTAGTTAAGTAAATGTGATGAGTTTTAGAACATTGCATGAAAATATTATTTATTATAGTAACTTTAAAAAAAATAATTTAAGACCCTCAACATCGTTTTGTTTTTTTATTTTTTGAAATTTGATCATAATAAATAACTAAAAAAAAACCTTGACAAGGTTTTTATATAGAATAATCTTAAGGATCTTGTTTAAGAATTAAGATATTATTTTTATTTATTAAGAGACAAATAATATTTTATGTTAAATATAATAATTAATAATTAATGTGATAATTTTCAATACATTAAGTGAAAAATATTTAATATAATATAGTATGACTTGTTAATATTATGGAATATAGACATATCATACCACATTAGACCAATTCAAATTAGAGTAAATTTGATAAATGATAAATGTATTATTCATATTTTAAATATTTCAAAATTCATTTATATGTAGAAATTATCTAAATGATAATATGGGATTTGTCAAGAAGAAAATTTAATTGAAAAATATATCTCAGTAGGAGATTGTGATAAACATTGATCTATTAGGGGCATTAACTACAAAAAGGGGTTACGCCATC